ACAACCCAAACAAGGGGATCGTTGGGAACAAGCTATAAATTTGTAATGATTTTTTCCAAGCTCTAAACAAACCGATCATATGGTAGATCATGAGCTGTTTTTCACTTTATTTTGAAAGAGAAAACCTTACTGGAGAGCTGCAAAGATAGTAAAACGAGGGGCTGAGAAAATGGACGAGGGATCTGTGGAGGTAAAGCGTGTCTTACTACTCTCAAACGAAGTGAATAAGTTGATCAAATTCTTGACAGAAATCAAATAATTTAGATGGTATTAATTCGTTACTGTCCAAGAAAACTCGAAAATATTAAATATTTCTCGTTAAAGACGATATAAGTGAGTTCAATATGGCTGGAAAGGTCGTTTTACCGTGTTAAACAAGGTTACCGGTAAACATATACCAATAGGCCTTATCACGGTTTACGACGCCATCTTGACGGGTAGGCAAAGCGGTCAGTGTTTGTTTGGGAATCCGATGGCAAATAACTTTTCAAAAAATTTAATTCTACACAATTTGTGAATTGCAACGTTACAATACTAGGTAGAAGATTGCAATTGTATTCACCAAGTTCGAAGGATGTAGCCTGGTTAGAAGACGCTTAGTTAATTTTTCTAATTTTCTATACATTTGTCTGTAAATTTAGCTGGGTAGGTGTTTGCAGGAAAAAAATTATAGACAAATGTATGGGAAATTAAAAAGTAACTGAGTGTCTTCTAGCCGAGCTATGTCCTTCAAATTTGGTGAATACAATAAAGTTATTTGTCGTCCGATTCCCATACAAACACTGTAATTGCTGGCTGTTTTACCTACCCAGCAAGATGGCATTTTTATGATGAGGTCTATTATACGATTGGGTGTTATATGTTGGAGGGTGCTCGATTTGCAAGCTCTGGCTGCTTTAAATTTTCAGCTGACTACTGTAAAATTTGTGGAGAACACTGGGTGTTTGTTTTGCTTGGGTTTATTTGTTTTATTTTAAACTGGAAAATTGATTGAAGTATCATTATTTGGTTATGCAGTTATGGCAAGGCTCACGATCAAACCAGAGAAACAATTTCTTTAGAAAGAACACAAAGGAGGTGTTCTTTTATATCTCCTTTCATTTGATAATGGTATGTTAAAGAGTACAATACAAGACAAAGTGAATGGTACTTCTCCCATACTGAGTGGCTTGCCCTTTGTCTGCTACATTTGTCTGCTGAATGGCTTGTCATTTGTCTGTAAAAGTGATGCAAGTGAAATGCACAAATTTCCTTTTTTTTCGTAATGATTTCTTGACAAAAGTCCTCTCGAAAGTTTGATTGAAATTTCGCAGCCTGTCGAGTGATAATTCACTAGAACAAAGGACAATACAGTGTACACGAGAATGCAATTTACTCAGTATATTATTGACAAGTTGCCTTATTGATTTGAGTTCATCAGTTTGAGAGCTTCACTGGCTTTATTTTCTGAAGCAATTCATTTCTCAATATCTGGGCATAGCAATTCTCTGGGATCTGGCATGTTTGATTATTATTATTAGGATCTTATTGTGTTACCTACAATGAAAATTACCATCCATCTCTATTGTGTTATTGTAAATTACAGTCAAGGAAAATATGTTTTGACATTTGCCTACTAAATCTATGTGCTTGATAGAGATGTATGTATGTTATGCTCATACAGCATCTCTTCAAAGTAGATTTGCTAGCTGTAGAAAAACAATAATTGGTTGGGTTGGTCGGGTTTTTCGTGTTCTATTGGGGAAAAACTGTTTTCAGTTGGTTTGATTGATCACCTTTTTCAACCGACATCAAACCAGGTTGAAACAGTTGAAAAAGCGTTTGCGTGATTATGTTGCGCGATTGTAGTTCATGCGAGGGCTATTCCCAGGAGTTACCCATTTCAGCTGAAAACCGTTGAAAAGGTGTTCTATTGAGAAACATCAACCATATCAAGCCAAGCTGGTAGCAGTTGAAACGGTTGATCCCAATAGAACA